GGCCGCTTTTTGAGATTTTTAATGTTTTTCTTTTGGAAACACTAGATAAAATGACGAACTTAAATTTTGTCAAATAAAAGAAAAAATGATTTTTTTGGCTTCTGAAGGTGGGAAGTAACCTTAAGTTGAACCCCACTATTTCAAATCCTCAGGGGAAATAAAACTAGTTTGAAATAGTGGGAGTTCAAAATAACCGATAGTATATGACTGAAGGGCAAATCCAAGGGAATGTTTTTGAGTTTGAAATAACAGGGAACTCGAAGTAACCAAGTTCGAATTAGTGGGGTCCAACTGTAGCAGCAATCATGACAATGCAAAAGGTGCTTCCTAAAAACAAACTTTCCTGTATCTTCAGCATCAAATAATTATAGTTTTATACTTAGTGGCCAAGCTTTAAAGCAACTATACCATACTATACCTGTCAGAATGTAGCTCAGTTGAGCAGTAACAGTATTCTATCTAGTCTTTTCTAAGCAAGATTTACTACAACTAAAAATTTCATAGGAAATTAAACATCAAAAGAGTCATAACACTGAAGAACTGATAAGAATACATCAAATTGCACTTCAAAAATGAGGCATGACACATTGTCAAAAGCAAAAAAAAACATTTACCTAAAGAACATTATACTATGACAACCAAAGACTGAAAACATATTTTGTGGGAAAATCTCATGATTCTACAAAGTATATTTTCCAAACATTATTGTTGGCCAAAGTATTACACTGAACACAAGAATATAATAATGCCAATGCAAGATGCCAAGATGTCGCTATCATACGAGCATGTCAGACATAAAGTGGGTGTACCAGTTAGAAACTCATCATCTATTGTCTGTAAACACAGTTTCAGACAGGTAATTTTATGCTAATACCTACACCAGTCAAAACACGAAATAATTCCAACAGAATTTACAATTTGAAATTGTTTAATTATGTTAATTTTCAAAATCTTTTGAACATAACTTACATCATCTTATCATGAGCAGAGCACAATTTCAACAACTAAAGCACTGTCAGTGAGTGCTTGGGTATTTTGCAGTGTGGTCAAAGTTTTAAGCACCTGCAAAAACTGATGTTTGTCTTCTGTTTCAGATACATCCATACAGTAAATAAAGCCAAACTGGGCGTAACCATGATTAAAATTCACCATCATTGAACTGTCACTAACATTTAGTGCTTCTTTTGAATTAAATGGCATGTGACACAACATGGACCACATTAAGCATGGGATGTTTCAATGATATCTGGTAATAACTTAATTACTAAAATTGAAAACTAGACGAAGTAACTGTAAGTACTAGAATCTGATATATAAAATCGAAATACAAGTGCCAACAATTATTTCTTTCAGTAACTACAGATATACACTTTATTCCTCAGGAATCATACATTCTAGCCTGAAAGCTCACAGTAGTCGAAAGAAAAAGACCTAAATGAAAAAAAAAACTTTCAAATCATTATCTTGCCATCAGAAATTTCATTCTTGGTTGAAGATAATTACAGAAAATATGAAAATGCCAACCTTCTGCTCCTTCTGCAATCATAGACTAACATTTCTACACAATGTACGGTTACCGTAGCTCTGTAAGCTCTAGGCTATCTACATGGCATTTAACTCTTTGTATTTTCATTAAATTCTCAGAAGGAGTGTACATGTACAGGTATGTTACCTTGCAAAGGAGGTGGTGGTTTTCCCAGCAGAGTCAGTGCCACATAGGAACCAGCTGTAACAAAACATTTAAAACCCATTGCTACACTTATATGAACAGAACATGCCATTTTTGGGGTTGGCTAACCTGTAAAGGAACTTATTCCTGTTTTCTGTTTGTTTGTTTGTTTGCTTGTTTGTTTGCTTGTTTTTTGTTTGTTTGTTTTTTTTCATTCCCCTCTGTATTTTATTTTTTGCTGAAAATGATTAAACTAAAGTATGCCATTGACTATCATATTGGTAGGATCAGAACCATATCAGTTTATTAGCTTGTTGTCTTCTGGGAATTTAAGAGTTCTTTAGCATTTCACAAGTAAAAGAAGCAGTGGTACACAAGGTTGATCTAATCCAGGTTGTTTGGAGACATTTCTGCTATTAGACAAATGAAGGACATTCACATGCAAAAAAAAAGGAGAGAATCAGTAAAGGAAGTGATATGAAAAGAATAGAGAGGGTCATCGACCATTTAAGAAAGGAAACTGGTCATGACTGATGGCAAATTTAACACAACCAGGGGTTTCGTTAATGTTTTCAGCAGAAGGGCAACTGGTTTTCAAAGGCGGGTAAAACTTTCTGAACTGAACTTCTTTCATTAGAAGAACTATATCCTCTACATGATCAAACCAGGAGGGCAAAATTATCCACACCCAGTCAATTTGCTCAGTGCCTCATTCTTAATGAAACCCCTGTGCAACCAGTACCAAGCCCTTAACTTGCTTACAGTACCAGTCAAAGGGATTGCAGCACCTACACGCGTGTAAAATGTGTGTAGTCTGCGTGTAGTATTCGTGGACAGTGCGTGGACGGTACGTGTAATTACACGTGTGTAAAATTTACTGATCTGTTAGTTACACATATTTGCGTGTAATTTTACGCAAATGTGTGTATTTTAATCAGAGGAAGAACCTTTGTTATTCATACACGCAGTGGCATGTATTTTGCATAACAAAAAGCCACTACTAACTTGTATTCGAAACCCGCGACTCTCAATGTTCACAACAAAAAGTAAATTTCAAAGCCCACAAGCATTGCTAAATTAGTGGACTAGCTCGAGCACCTATCAAACAAATACTATTTTTTTAGTTTGTAGCAGTCCGCATTTCTGCTTAACATCTAAACTTAATTCTTAAAGATCTATGAGTTTTCGTTTACGACGTGCATTGCAACGTAAGAGCCCACTCAAACTCGCGTGATATCAACAGGCTGTGTAAACATTATAAAGCAACTGTTTTCTATCCGCAAAAACATTAATGTAAATATGACAATGATGATATTGTAACCATGTTTACACGTCTGTGTAGAACACACCTGCCTCTATAGGTAGTTAGTTTTTGATTTCAGCAATATGGGGTTCCTTGTCTTCAGTTTAGTTAACTTTTTTTTTACAATTTATCCCTAGTCAATTATTATTGTTAACTAGGAATGGATTGGAATAAAAGCAACTAACTGAGAGAAAATGAACCACATACACACTGTAGGTGATATAAAAAATTAACTGAGATAAAAAATTAGTTTAAACATATCTGTCCAATCAGAGTGGACCTGGATAAGTGACAGCATGTGAAGCTTACTGCACATTCTTGGCATCCTAGTCAAACTTCTTTTATTAATTGATACTCCTCTTCTTAACAGGGCAAGGAACAAAGTTTGTTCATTCTGCAATTGTGGTGTGGAAAAACGTATGTTTCATGGCAAACTCCAGAGATATGCACCAACACCTGGATTCGACCCTGTCAAGAAGCTCCAAAACAGACACAGACAGAATAGTGGCTGCGACCCTTTTAGAGACAGACTAGACTTAGATCCTTGTGATTCTGGACAGTTTATTGAAGATCACCCAGAGCCTCAGCCTGTTGTAACTCGCCGTGGACCTGGCAGACCACCTGGGCGTGGCCGGCGGAAGGGAATAGTTGTTGTGGGTTTACCTTTGAGAACTGGTAACCATGACCTGACGGTTGACAAGACAACATACGGAACTGTGAAAGAGAAGGAGCTGAGTGATGTATTTGAGGATGATGGTTTCACATGGGCTCATCACTGTTGTGCAGCTTGGTCAGAAGGAGTTAGCCAAACTGATTCTTATGACTTGATCAATGTTGATAAGGCTGTTGTCAAGGCTTTGTCAGAGGTATGCGATTGTGCATGTTTGGTAGGAAGGGTAGTAAATGTAGTTTCCTTTTTTTCCCTTTTCAGATACAGTATGATGTTGTCTTAAAAATCTTTGCATACCATATTCTAGTCTCTGCAAAAGCAATACCACAAAACATGTGGAATGACTGTCAGAAACAAAGATTTTTTTTATTTCTTTTCTTTTGTCTGCTTCCTTGTTCAGGTAAAAATATTATTTATTCCCTACTCTGAGTGGTAATATTGCTTTTAATTCTACAGCGATGTAATCATTGCAATCGATTTGGTGCAAGCGTTGTTTGTCAGATTCCACGGTGTGGGAAAACCTATCATTATCCCTGTGCAGCAAGCAGTGGTTCTTTTCAGGTTTGTCTTATTCCTTGAGTGTCAGGAAAAGACTGGAGTGACTTTCAGAGAGTAGTTATTTTGTGGCTCAGCCTTGAACTTTTAGTTGATACGTGCAATTGAACTTTAACTCAGTTGCTGAAGAGTACCTTGCACTGCCATGTTGATTGGAGATTCTGTAAACAGAAGAATGTAGACATAAAACTTTATAAGAACTGTTTCAGGGCAATTGAAACAAATCAGGATCTGATATAAAGGGAAACTGTGTGGAATTCTCTCAAATTCTCCCACTTGCTCTGAATGTGCAGAGACAATAAGGATAATTTCTGTTGACTTTGTACAGGGTTAAGGGTTAAAGTGTTAATTAACATTCGGGGTTTAAGCATTAATTAACAACTAGATTATGAGCTCGAACTTTCTATGAAGTGAAAGTTGACAAGGCATTAGTATATAGTAGTATTTGCATTACTATGCCAGCGAAATTCTTCTAATGCTTGAAAGAGGAGAGGTGGTACAAATTGGGCTGTGTATCTTAAGTAGCATGTTACATGGTGCGAGTATAACATATTTTTAAAACTGCTAATAAGCTTTTTTCCCTCCGGCACAGGATATTAAATCTATGACCATGTTGTGCCCAGATCATTTGGAAGATGCAGGACGTCTTGGTAAAGATTGAATCGTTTCACTACTCTTTTCCCTGGAATGTACCCATTTAAGTGTTGACGATTTCCTAAACTTAAGGGGCTCTAACAGTCGTAGAACTTTTCTTCCTGCCTTTTATGGAAACTTAAAAATGATGTTATGGCAAATGGCAAAGGACAAAAATGAAACTTTTTGCGGTCTGTCTTCAGCTGTGTGTCCAGTAGAGTGAAAATATTTGTATTTGTGGTAAAAAGTAGAAGACGTTTTTCTATTTTGTATGATTTTTTTAAGAATTAGAAGAAAAGAACACAAAATCAGAGGTAGTCTTTGTTGTTTGCTGTCTGCTGGAAACTTTTTGCTGAAACTCTCTTTTGTTTGTTTCTTCTCTAGCGGCCAGTGAAGCAGAGTGTGTCCTCTGTGGGGAAGCTAAAGATTTTGGTGAACAGATATTCTGCACTAGTTGTGGCCGTCACTATCATGGTCGCTGCTTGGAGCCATCTGTTGATTTGACTTCACTTATCAGAATGGGCTGGCAGTGTCCAGACTGTAAAGTGTGTCAGGGTTGCAGGTTGGTATTGATTAGAATAATATTGATTTTTTCTAACATGATGGAAGCGAGAGACTGAATAGTTTTAAGTAGTCATAGTTATGATGACAGATTCTTGCAGTGCAGATTTCCCAATAACTCTTATTGGGCTTCACATAGTCCTACTGCTGTTAGTTTGTTGTATGTATGGTGCTAGTACCCCTCTTTCCTTTTTCTGATTACAGAAGCAGTATCTTAATATGTAAAAACTAGATGCTCTAAAGTGTTTACTCAGGCTTTGTACCACAGTATCAAATCGTACTTTACAAAAACGTGTATTGGACACAATAAAAGCAAATTAAAGAATCAGGATATTTTAGCACAAGAGTTCTGCTTAGATATTTACTATTGAAGTTGCTTCGTTGAGTATCCTCCTCATCCTATCGCAAGTTGTGGGTTTAAACCATTTTGGTTCAAGAATGAAGCACAACTGCCTTCGCACTGATGGAGAAGTTGTTTGCATAGAATTTTCGAGGTCTTTTTACAACTTATGGTGATTACTTTGTACATGCTAGCAAAAATTGTACGAAGTTTGTTTTCTGGTCGTGGCGATCCGAGTAAATTGTGTAGCTGAACATCTTTGCCGTGTTGCAATCTTAAACCCTTTTCAAGAGTCATATCTCCTTTGGAGAGCAAATAATCCCTTTCGCGAGAGCCAAAACGAATCATGATAAACTCCTTCATGAAAACAACAGTCCTGTGACTAGGCTCGAATTGCATTGTACATAATTTGCATAAACTTTCAAGTTGTGTATTTTGCGATAACTTCCAAGAATTTGCAACCCTTAACGCAGTTTATGAAGAAATATTCAAGCTACATATTTTTCTTGAATCAAGGCAGTAGTATTTTTAAAAAGGACTCTCATTTACAAGGGAAGATGTGGCATTCTGTTTTGCTATGTATTTTGGTTGCATGCTCGTCTAGTTCATGTCACGCAACATGATTTTCTTTTGCAGTCAGACACAGTTGTCTAAAACAATTGGCCATTGCTAAGACTGCTAAATATATTTGAACTACTAGTGAAATAACTGGCTAAACTATCGTCAATGCAGATTTTCCTTAGGACTTGGCAAGAACATTGGTTCGTCAATAACCCCGCACAATTCCCCGCACAATAGAAGTTTTAATTTTCCCGCACAATTTGCCTCCAAAATCACACGTTTTTTTTTTCCTGCACCCTACTAGAAAGCCAACTAACTTGGAGGTAAGATATTTAATTCAAGTTACCGAAAGTCTTATCTTTACAAATTTGGAGCTCGACATAGTTCGCGCGGTGCAAGAAACAAGTCGCATGTTTTTAATGAGATACCAGTCCAAAAAGGTTTTCGTATTTAGCTCGTTTTATCGCAATATGATTTGTTTTACTGCAATGTTCTAAATAATAACAGCAGTAGCCACATGCAGTCATTGACTGCCTATTGTTTGTCAGTGTTTTCGTAGTTTGAACTCATACCGCGATCGGCTCAATTGTTATCTAACGAGAACGTTTCGAGCCTGACCTTTGCTTACCTGGCTAGCTTTCAAGCAATATAATTCGTGGACTGACCCTTTCCGAAAACGATCGACATCTTTCTATGCGAGATGAACGTATAAGGCGCGATTCTCACCAAAACTTTCTTCACAAAACACCGCGTTCTGTCACGAGGAGCGAGCATTGTCGCGTTTCTCGTCCCCAGTTTCCATGGTCTACGCATGGAACGCCTGGGACCATGACCCCCCTTTTGGCGACCAAAACGCTAGCATTTTATGGCTCGGGCTTTCCTGCTGAAGCCCGAGTAATATTATGGAAAAATACATGACTTTTATGTTAGGTAAGCATCTCACATTTCGTGATAGTTTTCAATTCATGAGCTCAAGTCTTGATAACCTAGTAAGCAATCTGCCTGATGATAAATTTAAATAAACATCAGAAGTCTTCAAAAAGTCTAAAAAGTTTAATCTTATGAAACAGAAAGGCATTTATTCCTATGACGATATGGGTAGCTTTGATAAATTCAGTGAGAAGCAATTCCTTTCAAAGAAGACTTCTACAGCATCCTAAATGATGAGCATATATCTGATGACGATTGTAAACATGCTAAAAAAGTTTGGATATCTTTGGATTAAAAAATTTACGTGAACATCATGATCTGTATCTCAAGTCTGACATTCTTCTGTCAGCTGATGTGTTTGAGAACTTTAGAAAGACTCGGGGAAAGACTTGTATGCAATATTACAAACTCGAGCCTCGTCAGGCTGGGTTTATCATGGGATGCTATGTTGAAAATGACTGATATTAAACTTGAACTGATGGTAGATGTAGATCAATATCTATTTATCGAGCATGCATTACGCGGAGGTGTGAGTTACACTGCTCATCGTTATGCAAAGGCAAATAATAAGTACATGAAAAATTATGATGAAAAAAAGCATATCACATATTTGGATTGTAACAATTTGTATGGGGCAGCCATGAGCCAATTTTTGCCGACAGGTAATTCAAATGGTTATCGGAAAAAGAAATCAGTAAAGTGAACGTAGCTGACTATAAAGAAGACAGTAAAAAAGGTCTTTTACTTGAAGTCGATGTTGATTATCCTCAAAACTGCATAATCTTCATAATGAATTTCCTCTTGCTCCAGAAAAAATCAATGTTAAAAAAAAAAGATGTTTTGTGAATCCATAAGCTAAGACGAAAGTATAATATAACAATCGGACGAGTTAAAAAGTTAATCACGTTAATACCAACATTAAGCAACAAAGAGAAATATGTTCTTCGAATTCGCCATCGCAATTTGCAGCTATACACTGATCTAGGTTTGAAAGTCACTAAAGTACTTAGAGTATTTGAGTTCAATCAGTCTCCTTGGTTGAAGCAATACCGTATATAGATTTCAACACTCAAAAGAGAATGCAGGCAAAAAAGGACTTTTAAAAAGACTTCTTCAAGCTAATTAATAACTCAGTATTTGGTTAAACCATGGAAAATCATAAAAAAAGAGTTGATGTAAGACTTGTAACAACTGAAAAACAACTATCAAAATTAGCTTCTAAACCAACTTATGTTAGCAGTAAAATGTTAAATGAAAATTCAGTGGCAGTTCATAAAATCAAACAAAAATTAACCTTAAACAGACCCAGTTATGTTGGTATGTTTATTCTTGATCTTTCTAAGACACTAATGTATGATTTTCATTATAATTATATTAAACAAAAGTATGGTAATAAAGCTAAACTACTATTCACAGACACAGACAGTTTGACTTATGAAATCAGACTGAAGATGTGTATCAAGACTTTTGAGTTGATAGAGATAAATTTGATAATAGTGAATGCTAAGAAGAAAGTCCATTTTATGATAAAACCAATAAAAATTTAATAGACAAATTTAAAGATGAAGCCATTGGTGTTGCAATAATTGAATTTGTTGCATTAAGAAGCAAAATGTATTCCTATATAATAGACAATAATGAAGGAGGAAAAACAGCAAAAGGTATCAAGAAAATGGTGATTAAAAAAGATATCAAACATGACGACTATAAAAATACACTGGTGAACAACAAACAAATCTATCACAGAATGAACACTATACGAAGCAATAAGCATAAACTTGGGAGTTATGAGATTAATAACATTAGTCTCAGTTGTTTTGATGATAGGCGTTACATTCACGAAAATGGCATATACAGCTTCGCTTATGGACATTATAAAATACAAAACTAAAATGTAAAATCAAGTAATTAAATTAGATTTCCATTTTGAAGTAAACTTTATAAAAAAACTTTATGAGTAAAATTTACTAAAAAAGCTTACTCGCACAACTCGAAAGAAAATACAAATGTAATTATAGCTGAATCCCCATAATTTTACGTAAGACGCGTCTGCTAATTGCTGACTTGATGACTCATTTCAGCGGGAAAGTCCCTCAAGTATGACGTCACGGCACAGCTATGCCGCTCTACATCAACTTCCTGTTTTTCTGAGAAATGTCACGCAGTAAGATATTCCAGCACGTATGCATGCCAAATAATCCAGAGAAAAGACAAAATAGTTGGTTCACGACTTTTTCAAAACTACTGCATTTATTCATAGATTTGACTAGCAAATAAAACAGAGTTTTCAATCGATTTTCTCATATTTTGATTCCAAAAAAGCATATAGTTTTCTCAATTTTATTGTCATATAACTGAAACAAAATCGAGTGACTAAAACCAAGCNAAATGTTACATGGTAAATGTTTTGTTTTCATTACACGCACTTTTAATATTTTGTTCTCATTACACGCACTAATTGAGTTCCAGTCGAACGTCTGCGTGTAATTTTACACGCAATATCATGTCTACTGCGTGATTTTACGCGCGTGCAATTACACGCATTTTCATGCATTTGCGTGTAAGGTGCGTGGACAATGCATGGACACTGCGTGGGCACTGCGTGGACACTGCGTGTAATGTGCGTGTAGTACACACGCTTTACGCGCGTGTAATGCTGCAGTCCCTTTGACTGGTACTGTATAATCTTCCTTAGCATACATGCTCAATGCATGGTGTCACATGACATTGCAACATGACTTATCTGCACAGTGAGGATGCACAGAAATAATAGGTGTGAACAGCCTTAAGCATAGTATTATATAGAGAATTAAGCAAAACAGCAGCCTGCCCATAATTCTGCCATTCATAACCAATGTGAAATGTCTCAATTTCACATAGAATTGGTGAACTGCAAACAGGTGACTTAACCACTCAAAGGGAAATCAAAGCATGATGCTTAACATTACTAAAGATTATGTATCAAAAACTGATATTCACAAAAAAATAGGAACTAAAAAATTATGTACAAATTGTGCTAAATACATGTACTTGCCTATGATATTACTCTACAAGCTATGATAGCTCAATAGCCTTAAGTTACAATAACTCTACTAGTTAGCATTCTATCACAAATGCCATTCTCTTATTGTCTACACCACTATCTATTCTGTTGTAAATAGTAAGAAGCCTAAAGGTGTGTGGTTGTTAACAAAAAGGCAGCCCCTTCTTTGCATTTTCAAAGTGCCTCTGAAGAGGATTTAGATACGTTTTGAACAGCTTGTGGATTTATACTATTAACCAATTAGATTATTTACTCTTGATTTCTATACATGATAGTTGACTTGGGCCAAGCCCTCATCAGCTATCACATGATAGACATCTCAAGCTCATAATCTAATTGCTAATTAACAATTAGACCCTTCGCCCGCAAGGGCTACGGGTCAATAGCCCATGAG